ATTAATAAAATATAATTATAGGAAAAAAAGAGAAGATGGAGGGAATACAAGGAATCACTGTTCACAAAAGCGTTGGACAGCACTGGAAAATTTCAGAAAGTCTTATAAAGAGCCAGTGATGATGAGGGAAAATGTTCAGATTGCTTTGGAAAAAAAATTGGGTCCCTGGAATCAGTGGTATAACCATGGACATGTTTAAGATAACCTATGCAGCCCTGGACAGCTCACCTCTGGAAATTTGGAAGACGGCTACCTGGCGAACTGACTCATCTGTTCCCATTTCCAAGAAAGTTGATCCAATGGGATGTGGAAATAAACTATAATTAATATCTCAGACAAGCACAATACTGCTGAAGGTTTAAAAAAAAAAACAGAAAAGTAGATTGACAGAGAACTGCCAGGTCAGGCTGGGTTTAGAGGTGGCCGTGGCACCAGGGACATCATTGGTGATGTCATATGGCTCTTGGTGGAAAGCAGAGAATACCAGAATGTTTATTTGTACTTCATTGACTATGCAAAGACATGTCACTGTGGGGATTATTATACCATGGTTAACTTTGAGAAGAATGGGAATTCCACAACATTTAATTATGCTTATATGAAACTTAAACCTCTTAGACCAAGCTGTGGTCCAAATAGAGCACTGGAATGATGCCTGGCTTAAAATCAAAGGTTTCTGTCAGGGCTGTATCCTTTCCTGTACCTTTACAATCTGTATGCTGAGCACTTCATTAGGGAAGCTGAACTTTTATGAAGATGACTTACCAGCAGCCTGCATTAGGCAGATGACACAACCTTGCTTACTGAAAATGAGGACTTGAGTTACTTGCTGCAGAGGATCAAGGACTGCAGCCTTCACTATGGATTACATCTATCAGAAAGAAAAGCAACATCACAATAGATGGATGGAGATCAGAACTGTCAGTTCATCTTGGTTGGATCCAGTCAACAGTTGATACCAGTAGATGTATTGCACTGGGAAAGTCTTAAGTCAGGGACCTCAGCGAAGTCCTGGAGAGTAATGACATCAAAGACCATGGCCTTCAAGTCCCTCAGGGCAGTTCAGCCACAGTGGACTTGGAACTTTGTTCTTATTTGTTTACCAAGCCATGTATGACAGGCTTAGGTAGGCCTAGAATTTACTTTTGAGTCTGTTTAAAGCTAGACCATTAAGGATTTTCACTGGTCTAAAGATTAAGGTGTGCATGACTCAAACCAGTCTTTCCAGTCACGTGCTGTGCATCTGAGAGCTGGACATTAAATAAGAATGATGGGAGAGAATTGATGCCTTTGAGCTGTGGTGTTGGAAGAGTGCTGAATACCCCATGAACTGCCAAAAGAACAGATTTTGGAGAAAGTGCAACCAGAGTGCTCTTTGGAGGCAAGGAGAGTGAGGTTTTTGTCTCATCTACTATTGACATGTTGTGGAAGAGGCTCGCTCTTGGGAGAGAGACATCACGCTTGGAAAGCTGAAAGGTCAGCACAAGAGAAGGGCCTGAACGAGATGATTAATACTGTGATTGTAGCAGTTGGCTCAAGTGTGTCAGAGATGATGAGGATGGCACAGACTAGGACAGGATTCAGATGTTCACAGTGTCACTGATCCTTCTTGACTTCATGGCACCTGGTACAAGCTGTGAGGTCTTTTTTATTTTTTAAATTTTTTATTTTATTTTGTTTTTATTATTTTGTGTGTGTGTGTACCGTCAAATCAGTTTTGACTGGTACAGGAAGAGATTGTTCCTCCTTCTCCAGCAAAGCATCTGGTGGATTTGAACCGCACACCTCTGAGATTGCAGTGTAGCTTCTTGCCACTAGGCCACCAGAGCTCGCTAAGGTGTTGCTTCTTGACATAGAAGTTGATGGAATTAAGAGATACTGCCTTTAAAACCTGGCAATCTATTTTTCCTTCTGTGGCTTCTCTCTTCAGATAGCAAATGCAAACGGCTCCACTGCCTGGAACACGGAGCCTAGGTGCTAGTGCGCACACGTGTACAACCTACCTGGCACGTGCACACGGCAACCCAGCACCCCCACATTCTCAGCCATGGCCACACACGCCATAACCATCCACCGTGGACACACCAGTCTTTACGGGCTCTGGCCCGTTAGACTCAACCTCCACACCTGGTTTCCACATCTCCTGTGAGCCTCAGGTGTCAATAGGGGGCTTCCGTGGGTGCACAAGTGACAGTGCCCCACATAAGTAGCATCAGACTCTGCTCCCCCATCTAGACATTGTGAGCTAGCACTCCAGTTTTCTTAAGGAGCACTTATACAGTGGTTAGCATTGGTAACTGAAAGGTTGGTGGTTCAAGCCCACCAGCCCCTCTGTGGAGAAGAGTTGTGTTGGCACCTTCTGTAAAGGCCATGGCCTTCAAGTCCCCCAGGGCAGTTCAGCCACAGTGAACTTGGTACTTAGGGTTGTTCTTACTTGTTTACTAGACTACGTGTGACAGGCTTGCGGGAGGTCTAGAATTTACTTTTGAGTCAGTTCAAAGATAAGAGCATCAAGGATTTTTCATTTCAGGACGTTTTCTGCACTGCATTTTGAACGGTGTTCTCCTATGCTGCCTGGTGCTCTGAGCAGGCTGCCCTGGACAGCCTGCATGGGAGGTGCTGATGGGCTGGTTCCGGTAGAATGTTGAGGGTGTATGGCAGGATCCCCTTGAGTCTCTGAAAGTTTTCTAAGAGTCGGCCCTACACTGTTGAAGATTAGGGATGGGAGGAGGGACTTATCTGGGGTGTCAGGATCGGGGGTGGTCATCAGGGCAGCAGTGACAGGGCTCACAGTGGACAGAACTCCCATCATGGCTGCCCTGCCAGGTGGCAGCTGGTGGGTTTAAACCACTGCCTCTGCTTAGCCCCTCCCCCAACAGTTGGCCACCACATCACTAAGTGCTCACTTTGTGGTTCATAGTACATGTGGAGAACAAAAGGGACACAGACAAGTTACCATGTTGTGGAGGTAACGTCACTGTGCCTGGCGAGGACAAGACCCTAGCTGGCCAAGGAGCTTGGTGGTCACTGCGTTTACAGCAAGGCCACTCTGGCAGGACCTTGGAACAGAAGTGTGATATTTCAGAGACAGCTGTTCGTGTCAAACAGGGAAGTCGGCAGATAAATGCAAGCAGGGGGCTTCATACTCCATGCAGGCACAGGGGAACCTGGCCGAGATCACACCGGGAGCTGGAGACGACCTCAACTGTCATTCCTAATCTTTCTAGGAAGCGCAGGCGGGCCCAGTGGGCCGAGGGTGCACTGTCAACACAAAGGCTTGAATCCTGCTAGGCTGTTTCCTGCCTCTGAGAATCCCCTGGAGAATCAGCTTCTGACTAGAAGGTAATGAGTGAGTAAACGCGGGCATGCTCACAGCCCCCATGGGACATGTTGGAGAGAGACTGGTGTAGAATGTGCTCTTCCCTGCTCACGGAGGTCCGCCTTGTTCCACCTCCAAGAGCAGACAGGCAGCAGTCTTGGTCCCACCAGTTAGGCCAGGAAGCCTGGCCCTCACCCTAACTTAGAGTCCCCTCATTTCTCCCCTTGTGAAGAGCATTTAGAAGGTTCTGGCCCCAGGGTGGTGGAAGTGGAGGTGTCTGGTCCAGTCCAGCAGCACTGTGGGCCATTTCCCTGGGTCTTTGATTAGCTTCATTCTCCTTTCCTCCACACGGAGCACCTAGATGGGGGCCCTCGGCTGCTACTCAGCACTACTGGGTGTAGGAACATTATGGCCCATTAACTGCTGTTATCAGTGTCCCCAAAACTGTTCCTGCAGCCCCGTGACCCAACCTTATGGTGTTTGGTGACCGTAAAGTAGTTGTTAGGTGCTGCTCAGTCGACTACACCTCCTAGCAACCCTGTGTGTGACCCTACAGCTCGGAGCCCACCTGACCCTGTGCTGTGTGCACCACAACGCTCAGGTGTGTAAAACTGGCCCTACTCACGTGTAGGCATTTGCTACACTTGGAACTCATGTTGCAGGATCATGTCAGATCTGCAGAACGACAAATCACTGGAGATAAAAACCATTACTGTAAAATTCTGGGGGCCTAGTGGTAAGGTCCTCTGCAGCCATCCCAGAGGTATACAATTCAAATCCACCAGCTACTCTGTGGGAGAAAGATGGGCAATCTCTTCCCCTGCGATCACTGGAGGGTCAGCTACGAGTCCACTGGCTCATGAAAGGTCCTCTATGATGTCTACAACCAGCAGGTCGTCGGGGGCGGTCACCAGCTCACTGCTGTACCCAAATAGTGCTCCCTATCAAAGTGAACCTCTCCTGACAGACAATCTGACCACACAGCAGCTTTTATCAAACCTGGAGCACTTTCTTGTGCTAAACTTGACCCCAAACAAAATCCCTGCCCTCTCAGCAGCGCTGGGAACAGCAGAAGTGCTTCCCAATGATCATTCAGGCCACCAGCCCCAGGTGGTTTTTATTAGAAAGCCAACTTGGGCAGCTGTGTGCCACTGTGGCAAGGACCCCTCCATGAGTAACAGTTCGGGAAGGACAGCAGCAAGGCCTGGGGGGAGGACCTTTTCACTGTTTTTCAGGTGGGTTCCCAGCCCACTATGGACACACAGTCCCCAGGAATAGCTGCTTAGAGGTAAAGCCCTGGGCCCCCCATTGGGCAGCCTCAACTGTGCGGGGAGGAGGAGAGGCGCCGAGCCCCCGGCAAGGCCTTGTCCTGAGGCGGGAGCTACTTTGGCTGTTGTCAGCTGGGCAAGAGGCAGGTGCGGTTTCATCACTTTGTGATTTCTGTCCCCATTGGCGGTCCAGTCGGCTCAGGCCTGGTCCCCGTGATGTTCTTATAGTCCTGGTGTCACTTGGCACAGCGAGGTGGTGGGGTGGCCTCTCACAGCTCAAGGAGCTGCTGTTTGAGCCTGTGTTCCCCCTCGACACCTGCAGGCACTTGATGTCACCTGTCAACCTGGACGCAGACTCCAGGGCAGCCCACGTGTCATCCTTTCAGGTCAGCACACTGGCTGGAAGGGCCCCACTACACCTTCTTCTGCTTTTGCTCCTCCTGCAGAAAAAACAGAGGTGGCCCTCAGTGGTCCCACTGTGAGAAAGGAGGATCCCCCCCTTCTCTCTTCCATGCATTTCACTATCTTGCCCTCTTGGCCCCGGCCCTCACTCTGACAGTCTGTTCCAGCTGGGCCAGGGCCTCCTCATAGCGTGGCACCAGCGGCTGCAGCAGCTCCGCGGGGACTTCCTGCCGCCCCAGCTCCGGCACGCCCGCCTCGGCCAGCATCCGCAGGAACCTGCGCTCCTGGAGGGGACACGGGGCTGTGTTCAGGTGGGAGGCCTGGTCCCCCCCCACCCGCCCCCAGTCCAGTGGTCACTCACCTGCACGCGGAGCAGGAGTGTGAAGGCCTGTCCAGCTCGGCCAGCTCTTGCCGTCCGTCCAACTCTGGAACCGGGAGAGCAGTGTGTCTAGCTGCCCCTCGGGTCCCCTCCCCAGGACTTCCCCCCCCCCCGGCCACTCACCGGTGCACGTAGGTCCGCGCATACTGGGGGGCGTCATAGTTAAGCACCAGCTCCACACCCTGCACGTCGATGCCGCGAGCTGTGGCGTCTGTGCTGATGAGGCTGCAGACAGGGCACATTCCAGTAAGTCAAGCAGGACCCTGGCCATGTCCCTTATGTGCACCCCTTGACCCTGGTAACCCTGGCCTGGGACTCACAGCTGAATCTTGCCCTGCTCAAACTGCTTCAGGATCCGCTTCCGCTGGCCAGGCCCTTGACGCGAGGAGAACTCGGCCACCGTCACCCCTCCGAAGGCCTGGACAAGCAGGCAGAGCCTGGGGACAGGAACTGTGAGGCACCGGGTCCCAGAGGGAGAGGTGGCCTCATTCCTGTCCCCCTGCTTACCTGTGTGCGTTCTCGCGGGAGTTGGTGAAGCACAGGACCCTGGAGAGCTGCGTGGTCAGGATCAGGTGCAGGACGGTCAGTGGCTTGGCACTCAGGCGGCAGGGCACGTAGTGGTGCTGAGGGCAAGGGGCAAGCAAGGTTGGCTGGGCTCGGCCCTGGGTGCCACCTCGTCCCCTTGTGGGCACCCACTCACCTCCAGCCCTTCAGGGAAGGCATACTTCCCCCCTGCATCGCCCTCGGTGCTGTCTGGGCCCTCGTGCTCCAGCCCCGCTGAGAAGAGATGCGGCTGGTAGAGACCAAGCTGCTGAAGTTTCTCGGGGTTCTGGGTCAGGGTGGCAGAGAAGAGCAGCTTCTGCAGAGGCATCTGGGGGGTCCAGGTACTGGGGGGGGGTGCATACAGAGTAAGGGGGGGGACCGTGGGTGCAGGAGCCCAGGACAGGAGAAGACTGAGGGCCGAGGAGTGGGTACCTGGCAGCAGTGACAACCCGTGGTACGGTCCGCTGGAACAGCGCACAGGGGTCTGAGGGGTCCTCACCCTGCACCACAGCTGCCACCACCCGCGGCAGCCAGGACTGGTGCATGCTGTCCACCATGCGGTCGGCCTCATCCACCACCTGCAAGAGTGAGAAGAGGCTAGAGCCAGGAGGGACATGGCACTCCCAGTCTTGAGTATCAGGTCAGCGGCCTACCAGGAAGCGCAGCTGCTGCAGGCTAAAGCCGGGCGTCTGGTCGATGTGGTCCACCAGGCGGCCGGGGGTGGCCACCAGTATGTCGGCCAGGCAGCGGTAGCCATTCTCCCTGTGGTCAGAGAGAGCCCTTGAGTGTCTTTGGGGGGGGTGGGGAACTCCTGCCCTGGCTTCCCACATCAGCGCCTACTGCAGGACTCACGTTTTCTGGACAAGGCTCTCCTGCTCCTTAGCCAGAGACTTCTGGCCAGTGACCAAGGCAACCCTCAGCGGTGTGGCATCCGTGTAGATGTTGAACACCCGGCTCACCTGGAGGAGACGTGTGTCATCCCTGGGAGCTGTGGCCCCACCTGGTGAGAGAGGGTCCCAAACTCACACCCTTGGGGTCCATTACCTGCTGAGCCAGCTCCTTGGTGGGCAGCACAACCAGGGCCCGGACCTGGCACACTACACGGGGCAGCAAGGCCTAATGGTGGAGATATAACACACACCCTTGGTCAGCCAGGCCTGTTCCCCATGCCTGGCCAGCCACGGGCAGGAAAGGGTCCCCTCACTCACCTGGATCACGGGAATGACAAAGGCCAGTGTCTTTCCACTACCCGTGGGGGCTGACACACAGAGGTCTCTGGGCCGGAATCCCCCTCTGGCAACCAGGAAGCCCCCTGCTGCACTCTGCAGGATGGTGGGGATCACAGCTGCCTGGACTGGTGGAGGGGCAGGTGGTCAGGCACCCAGCCACATTGGGTGAGCTGCTGACCCATCCATGTGGTCCATGGAACTGTGGGGCGAGACCACCCCGGACCAGAAGCAGCAGAGATGGGGCCACAGTTGCCCCACACCCACCCACCCCGGAGCCTCACCAGGGAAGTAGGAGGAGATGCCTTGGGCCAGCAGCTTTCTCTGTAGGTCAGGGTGCACCTCGGGGATGTCCTCAATTGGAACAAGGTGCTCGGTGACATTCCTCCTCACCCGGCTCGGCTCAGCCAGCCACCTGGGCAGGAAAGGCTGGACCTGTCAGAAAGGGAGGTGCAGTGGTGCTCTGACCAAGGATGGAAAACAGCTTCTGCAAACGGTCCACATTCCCAGGATCCCCTCTCAGCAAAGCCTGTAGCATTTCTCCAACTTTATTCTTAAACAACTAATGATGAGACCACCTTTTTTTTTTTTTTTTAGCATACAGGTCTTGTTATTGTTAGGTGACACTAAGAGAGGCCTACTTTTGTACTTACAGTAACCAAGTCTTTATTCTGTGGAACCAATTAACTACTATAATTTACCACTCCTAACTTATTTTTCATTTCCTTAGTCTATAAATTTGGTATCTTTAGTGTTCTCCTCCCTCCACAACCTAAACCCCATGCTTTTAAAAGTTCATTTTCCTTAGACACTTATTAAAGAGTTCTATCATTTATCTAAGTTTTCTACATAGGCTCTCAGTTTTCCTTTTACTTAACAGTTTAACTGCAGTATTAATTTTACTCAGTGAACAAGAAGCCAAGCTATGTACTTGCCTCTGTTGGAATTTCTCAAACAGCAGCCAAAAGAAGCACTGCTGGATCCGTTGCCCTTTCCTCTAGCTGAGATTCATGGTTTTCCAACATCTACTTAAAGATTGTGCTCAGACCACTGTCACCTACCACAGGACACCTGACCCAGCTGTCTGCCCACTTCAGAGCTCGCTCCTGTGGACGCTTGCTCTCACTCTTCCTAGAATTGCCAAGCTGTTTAAGAACTGGCGTAGTGTAAAGCCTGGTTAGGGGCTTGACAGGCTATCCCAGCTACCAAACCTCCAAGGTCAATCCAACCCATCAGATACATCCCCAAATTGTGCAACTGTAGGGACAGCTTGTAGACTAACATGAAGGTCAGCGGTTTGAATCTAGAAAACGAAAGCCATCTGCCCATTGCAACATGGGAACCCAACCGAGGGCTGCTGGGATCTGGAACCCTCAGACAGGTGGCAAGGTCCTGGTGGGGGATGGGGCCCAGTAGACGTGGGCAGCTGTCTATCCATAATGATTCTGTAACAAATGCATCAAAGAGGCTGCTCCCCAGGCAGCTCCATGGAAATGGCCTGAGCTTTATCAGATCCCCCTGGAACATCAAACTACAGCCCAAAAGCTGTGTTGCAATCCCAAAGACACATGGTTCAAATCCACCAGTTGTTCCTGGGCAGGGAGAAAGATGGGCAGTCTCTTCCTGTGTGTAATGAAACTGACTTGGCAACACACCACCACAATTTGGGTACAAGAAATGGAATAAAAAATTTCTTGAAGAAAATGAAAACATTACCAAAAATTTGAAACACAGCAGAAGCAGTCCTCGGAGGCCATGTTACAAGAATAAACACATTGGAAAAGAGGAGAAACCAAAATCAGCACTGTGACCCAACACCTCTGACACTAGAAAAAGAAGAGCAAGGAAAGTGTTCTGACAGGCGTTGTTAGGTGCTGCTGAGTCAAGCAGGACTTGTCGTGACCTCGTGAAGAGCAGATCTGAACTCTCCTGTCCTGGGCCACCATTGTCCCTTTGTGAGAAACAGCCTAACATACCCAAAATATGAGGGCATCACTATCCTTGCCTCTGAAAATAGTTGGTTGTTTTAAAAACACATCCCTGGTGAACTAACGAAGGAAAGAAGAAATAAATACCACAAAAGGAGGCTACCCATCTTTCTACGGTGGAGCAGCTGGTGGATTTGAACTGCTGCTCTCTGGGTTGGCTACATAACCTTTACCATGAGGCCGCTACAAAATCTACAGAAAATGAGCACTTTTTAGAAACTAAGCTAACAAAGAGGTAGAAAATTTAAACAGACCCATCACAAAAGAAAGTGAACAGTTCATAAAAACACTCCCAAGCCTAATATCCTCACCCCAAGGGCATCATCAACTAATTCTACCAAACGTGTAGAATAAGGGAACATTCCCAAATTCTATGTACAGACTTCAGGATTAAAGAAAACTAAGCCATTATCACTCAGGAACTTTGTTGCAAAAAACTGATAATCATTTCATCTGATACCAAAAGGCCCTGGACACAATTTAAGACTATCCTGGTAAAATGCTCAACAAATTAATTATAAGGGAAATGCCTCAACATAATTAAAAGCATACATAGCAGGTACAAGGTGGAAGCTGGTGAAGGAGATCAGTGCACATCCTTTGGTGTCAGAGATTCCTGCAGGAGCAGCAGGAGAGAACCAGAGACCCAACGTGAGACAGAGCTGACTCAGGACAGCTGCCCACAGGGCCATCCGTAGCCTTCCCCAACCCTGCCAGAGGGATGACGCCATGACTGCAGGACTAAGGGAGCTTCGGCCGGGAGACTGGAAGGTCAAATGGCCTGTGGTCACATCTGATCTTATAGAAATTGCTTTTGTACTGTGGTGGCTGCTTGGGACAGTTCCCTTGTGTAGAGTTAGCAGAGGTCAGATACGGCATCTCCATGCTGCCTGCACTCGTGTAACACAAAACCAACAGCCAACATTACTCTCACAGAGGGATTCAAAGCACCATCCCACTCCCCTTTTCAATAGTGTACTGGCAAAATGGCAAAAGTAGTAGATAAAAGGCACGTAAATTGGTGAATAACTAAAAGTACATTTTCAGATTGTAGGACCCTGTATATAGAAAATCTCAGACTCAGCAAGACAGTTACTGGATCTAACCTATACAAAGGAGGTACAGCCACGCTGCAGGTTGGGGGTGGAGTGTCTTCCCCCCACCCACTGCTGGTGGGAATATAAAAAATGGCACGTCCACTATGGAAAACAGTTCAGGACTTCCTTCAAAAGTTGGTATTAGAAAAAGCATTAAATCCACCAATCCTACCACATTTTTCCCAGGAAAATAAAAGGTGCAACACACACAACCACGTTTACTGTTGCATGATTTATAATAACAGCAGGAAATAATCTGTATGTTGTTGAATGGGAGAATGGCTAAAAACCTGTAGTACATCAACACATGGAGCATCCCACACCATGAAAAACGACTAGGAATTTCTGAAATAGGTGGTTTAAGTGAAGACACATAAGACCATTAAGATAAAAAGCTAAGTAAGGAAAGGTTTATACTCTGAATCATCCCTGGAGAAATGGCAGGATTGAGGGGAATAAATACTAGGTAAGCAGGATGAAGGGCAAGGCTGTGCACAACGCAGCTGTCTGGGGCACTGTCACACTGGGCTATTCGGTGAACCAGCGCTCGTCTGTCAGTTGCTGTACCCTGCCCTGGTGGTGCGTGTGTGGCCGTGAACACTGGAAGCACTGCCACCAGGCTGTCCTTCCAGCAGGATCACTCAGTTGGCAGGCTTCAGCAGAGCTTCTAGACTAAGAAGGACTGACCATTCACTTCTGAATAACAGGCCTTTTAAAAAACCTTTCAACAATAGAATAACACCGGCTGTATGACCTGAAGATGAGCCTCTCAGGTTGGAAGTCCTCAAAGTGTGACCAGGAAAGAGCTGCTGCCTCTGAGTGAAGTCTATCTTAATCACACAGGAGGAGGAAAGCTTGCTCCTAGTGAAGGACCTGCCTATTTTTACCTAACATGAGGAGAAACAGTTCCAAATACCCAGTACTAAGTAGAACATGGAATGTATGCAGTAAATGCTTAAGATGGACTGTGATTGGCCATTTTGAATCAGACACACACTGTATGACAAAATGACATGACCCATACAGTGTTATGAGTGATCAGATACTACCCAACACTCATACATGATCCTGTTAACTATTATTCACATATGTTGTTATGTGCCATCGAGTCATTTCCGACTCATAGCGACCCTATGCACAACAGCTCTAAACCCTGCGCCAACCGCACCGCCTCTGACACACCCATCCCAGTCACCAAATGAATCCATCTCATAGAGGGTCTTCCCCTCCTGTGCTGTCCCTCCACCCTCCCAAGCATGATGTCCCTCTCCAAGGACCCGTCCCTCCTGGCAACATGTCCAAAGTATGTCAGACGAAGCCCCAGAATCCTTGCCTCCAAGGAGCAGCTTGGTTTAATCCTCTCCAAGATGAATCTGTTTGTTTTCCTGGCAGTCCATGGTACATTCAGTACCCTTCTCCAGCACCACAGCTCAAAAGCATCCACTCTCCTTCTGTCCTCCCTAGTCATTGTCCAACTCTCTGATGCATAACAAGCGATTGCAAATACCATGACCTGTATCAGGCGCACCTTAGTCTCCAGAGAGACACTGTTGCTCCTGAGTACCTTTGAGAGGTCCCTAACGGTAGACTTTCCCATCGCGATACGGTTTTTGATTTCCTGACTGCTGGTACCAAGAGTGCTGACTGTGGAGCTGAGCAAAGTGAAGCTGTGAACACTCTCAATCTCTTCGTCATCCATCCCATTATTCACATATACCAACAGCAAAATTCAAGGCTAAAAAAATCGACAACTTCTACCAGCTACAATCAAGACACATTAATATTCACTGGTGCGTGGAATGCACCAGTTGGAAACAAAGGACTAGCAGTTATTAAAGTTTTGGTGACAGAAATGAACTAGAGACTGAATGATAGAAATGAAAATATTCTGAATGTGAGAAAAAGTCCAGGAGAACCAGGATATGGCAGGGAGTGTATCCTAACTTAATATAAAACCACCTCAAGAATAGACATGTTAAACACTAATGACCTCAAGGACTTGATAAATGAAGGAGGGGAGGAGCAGCGGCGGGAAACAACACCTAAACGGATGTCCAGAGAGACCCTGAAACTTGCATTGGAACAAAAAGTAGCCAAAACATGGGGAAGGGACGCTGAGGTAAGAAATGAACAAGAGATTTCAAAAAGCAGCAGGAGGTGACAAAAGTACAACGTGCAAGGAGCTCAAGTTAGGGAAAAAAGTAAAGACTGTCAACAAGCTGGACCAACACACTGACCACAAGATGCCTGAGCATGAGACCATGGCGAGGAGGGCAGGGCCTCTGAGTGAGAGCCCACTTGAGGCACAGCAGAACACCGTAGTTTACATTAACAAAAGGTATGTAAGCAGATGAAAGAACACGATTTGTAAACTCTGGTCAATTTTAAGTACTATCTGTATGATAAACTATGAGGATGATAACCGCAGACTTGAGGAAATGGTCTTAAAGTGGTGGTGGTGGTTGTGTATCGTTGAATCACAGTGACCCACAGCTGACCCATTGGCGGGTTTTCTGAGGCAGTTAACTTGCCCATCCTCATCCCGTGTTGCACCTGGTGACCTCGAACACCACGCCTTTGGGATCACAACACAGCTTCTTTCCACGAGGCCACCAGAGCTCCCTTAAAGGTCTCGAGTTTTACGGAGACGTTCATTCCAGTCTGCTGAAGGCACTCACGCAGGCAGCTCCCTGTGGGTTTTCTCATCCCTTTTTGTAGAAACTTTGTATCACAAAAAGCATGGCTCTGCTTTCAAGTCAATCTTGTCGCTAAAAAATCTCTTTTTAGAGATCATTTGGGGCGAGCACGATTAAACACATTAAAACTGGTGGTTTTAGTAGCTGAACATTCTCAGACTTCCCACCGCATGTGACCAAGGTCGACTCGGCGCCCCCACTTTGGGGTTCCTGGCTGTAAACCTTTGCGGGAGGAGATGGCTCTATGGGGCCAACCTCGACACACTCCCCGCATGTGTACCTTCAAGCCTCGCCTGGGCACCTGGCTGAGCCAGGGCTCGGGCTGCTCACCTTTGGCGCCTTCTTCCTCTCGAAGCCCCCGAGCACCAGGGCGTGGGCTGGCGGTCCAGAAGCCTTTTCTGGGGCGTCTCCTTCCGGGGCCTCTGCCGCCGCCTGCGGGGGCTCCGCCTTGGCGCCCACGCTGCTGTCGGCCGAAGCCTCATCGCTGCTCTCTGCGGGCCGGACGGAGTGGTCAACCCCTCAAGGCACCGGTCTCCCAGAATAGGCCCCAGCGGGGCAGTGCCCGTCCCCAACGAGGACACCACCCCCCCGGACAGCTCCCCATCCTTACGCAAGGCCCGCTTCCCCAGCCGGTTCCCAATCCTCGAACCTGGACGGCTCCTCCCCCGGTGGGGTCCCCTTCTCGGGCAGGAACCTCTAGTCCCAATGGTGCCCCCTCCCCAAACACGACTCCTCCAAGCAGAAACCCCTTCCTCAGGCGGCGCCTCCTCAAACGGGGTGACCCTCCCCAGAAAGCGTCCCCTCCTCCGACCGGTCCCCACCTGCGCTCGCCTCCGACTCCCCAACATCCCCTTTCTGCCGCTTCGGCGGCGGCGCGTCCGGGTCCTTGGGCGCCGCGCTGCCCCCGTGACGCCTCCGTCGCGGCCGCCGCCGCCGCTTCCTCGCGGCCGGGGGCTCCTCGGGCTCCGGCTCCTGCTGCTGCTGCTGCCGCTGCTGCTGCCGCTCTCGGGCCCGACTCTGCAGCCGCTCCAGCAGCGTACGCGCCCGGCTGCTCGCCTCGCCATCCGCTAACCCCTCCGCCTCGAGCCCCGCGTACCGTGCGACGTGGAAAAGCGCCATGCCGACCGGCGGCAGACGAGCTCGCGGCGTGCAGGGGGGGCGGACCGACGGGCGCGCGGCGTGCAGGGGGCGGACCGGCGGGCGCGCGACAGTGACGTCACGAGGCGTGTCGCTACGTCACGCGACGCGACGCTACGTCACGGGCGCGCCGACGGAGGCGGAGCCCCACCTGTTCTGCGTGTGGTTGTGGTTGTGGCGGCAGCATGGAGCGAGCTCGGGGCTCCGGCGGCGCGAGCCGGGCGCTGGGTCGCCTGCTGGAGGCGGTGCTGGACAGCCGGGGAGAGGCCAACGCCGTGTTCGACATCCTGGCCGCGCTGCAGGTGCGCCCGACGGGGGTGGGGGCGCATCGAGGTTGGGCGGGGGCCGATCCCGAGTAGACACGAAATGGGGTTTAGGACTTCAAAGGTCTGGCAGCGTCTGGTGGAAATGAGGCTGCCGGTGAAGTTCACATGCGTGAGGTCATGGCGGGGTCAACGTTGGGGTAAGGGGGCTGGAATCTTATGGAGCGTAGTGTGCACGGCAGTAGTCACAGTCTCGCCTCTCCTCGCAGTCTGAGAACCAGGAGGAGGTCCAGGAAGGGATACGCATATGCAGCCGCCTCTTTGGGGCTTTGCTGGAGCGGGGAGAGCTGTTTGTGGGCCGGCTGCCCTCTGAGGATGCGATCATGACAGGTAAGAATCCCCCTTCGCCATGATCACGCAGCATCAGCGAGGGGTTGTACCAACATGGCCCCGAGGAGCACCCCAAAGCTCCTTCTAGGAGGGCAAGCCCTTGTAGGACAGGATTATCCCGTAGGGCCCGGGAGTGTGGGTGTTAACAGGACAGTCCTGCAAAGTCAGAAGAGTTAAAGCTCGGCTCACGACAGCCCGTGGGGTTTCCAGGGCTCCAAATCGTTCCTTTGCAGAGCAGCTGGTGTGTTTGAACTGCTAAGCTTTTGGTTTGCACCAGAACTTGACCCTTGGTCCCTCATGCCTCTGACAGTACACAGCTGTACACCCTTTGTGTTTCTTGCTACCTGTATGACTTGGCGTTGTGTAATAGACTTTGTACTGCTTAAAAGCAGCGCTGCATGTCCCAGCCCTTGGCCCGCATTCTGGGGTGCAGGGAGGGAGTGGGGTATCTGGTAGAGGGCAGTCCTAGCATTGGAGTCATTTCCCCTGCTTGCAAAGGTGCTAAACTCACCCTTTTGGGGTCATAGTGATCTGTTCCAATTCCTGGTGTGTGGACTGAGCTTCCAGGGTTGTGGGGGAATGTGCTGGAACCCCCTCCCCCCATGTGATCCACATCCCTGGTTGCAGGGTCCCAGGGAGCCACCCTCAAGTACAAGGTGTGGATGAGGCACCGTTACCACAGCTGCTGCACTGGCCTGGCTGAGCTCCTGGCCCACCCCTCTTTCCAAGTCAAGGTGAGTGTGTGGCCTTGGGCTCCACATGCCCAAGGTCCTCTCTTCCCGTGGAGCCTAAGGACCAAGGCCTGGGTCAGGTTTTACTGCCCTCATGAGACTACAAGAGGGATCAGGGTGCCCATGGGGGCCAACTCCACCAGGTGCCTTCCATGGCCCTGTACCTGCATTTTTTCAGTCTCTCTGAAGCCCACCAGGGAGTTCCCATTGGGCAGGTGGCCTTGTGACGCTGTCCTGTCCACACACTTCAAGAAGTGGCTGTATTGTCAGCAAGGATGTGGGGGGCATGGCAGCAGAACCTGTTGTTCATTCTTGATCCGTGGACGGTGGAGTGTCTGCATCTCCACCCAGTCCCTGACCTGTCTTGGGGTCTGCTTGTGAGAGGCTCCATCACTCCTGAGGGGCCCTCAGGCCTGGGCTGCAGGGGTATGTGTGTGGCTGGCGTCACCATCACTTCTCCCTCTCCTCCCAGGAGCTGGCCCTCAGCACGCTCCTCAAGTTTGTGCAGGTGGAAGGCTCTCACCCCTTGGAGAAGCCCAAGTGGGAAGGCCATTACCTATTCCCCCGCGAGCTCCTCAAGGTGAGGGGCTCATCGGGCTCCTGAGGTGGGATGGGGTGATGGGACAGGGAAGGGGGATTAGTGGGCCTGAGATGGGGAACAGGTGAGGGAAACATGGGGAGAGGGCTGGAGAAGACTCTGAGGTGGGGAGGAGGTGTCAAGAGAGCTGTAGATCTTGAGGTGGGGATGGGGAGTGCTGTGGGGAAGGAGACCAGGGACAGGAAACTGGAGACAGAGGCCGCTTAGCCTTGAGGGAGTGTGGGTGGGCGCGCCTGGCCAGGACTTCACCCCATCTGCTGTGACCCCCTCCATTGCCCTGGGAGATGCTGAGCCCTGCCTCCCACAGCTGGTGGTGGAAGGCCTGCTGTCCCCAGAAGAGGACTGCGCTCTGCTCCTGTCCCAGCTCCAGAGCTACCTAGAGTATGATGACATCCGCTACCATACCATGCAGGTGGCCTCTGCTGCCGTGGCCAGAGTGACCGATGGTCGGGTGGAGGTGAGCACCAGCCTCTCTTTGGGTGAGGGGGTGTGTGGGCAGCTCCCAGATGCTAAGCAAAGTTAATGCAGGTCCCTGTCACTTTCTGGAACAATGCCTTCACCCTACTGTCGGCTGTGAGCCTGCCTCGCCAGGAAGGTGGTACCCCTAGGTTCTTCGTGAAACACAGGGGTAAGTGACCGAGGCAGCGGGGACACTGCTATGTCCTGGGTTCCCATCCCAGGGGAAAGCTTGGGAGAAGAGTTATTCCTTCCTGGGGAGTGGCGGGAAATGGGAGCTTCAGACCTGGTCCCTCAGCTGCACACCTTTCCTTACAGAGCTGTCAGACACGTGGAAGGTGGCACATCTGAGGGTGAGGCCCACTGGTGTCTGTACGACACTCACTGCGGGGGGGACATGGAGCTGCTGCTGGGAGGCGCCTGGGGTGGGGGTGAGTGCTCACTGGTGGCCTAACAGCAAGAGGTAGGGTCTGGGGTGTCCCACAGACAGCTCAGTGGAGGCACAGAGACCTCCAGAGGCATCAGGAATGCAGGGGCGTCCTCTGGAGCTGAGATTAGGTGCAGGCCCTGATATGCAGAGGCCACAGACACGAGAGAGGGGTGCTGGTGACCATCCCTGTGGGGGTATGGTACTGTTGTCCCAGCAAGGCGCACGGGGCTGGAGAGCTGGGCCAGCCTTCTGGTGAGGATGTGGACGGCAGACCTCACCTCCCCTGTCCCCCAGGAGCACAGGAAGGTCTTCCAGCAGATGTGGCTGAGCTTCCTCAAGCACAAGGTAGGTCGGGCACAGTGGGCGGCGGGGTCCTGGCAGGTGGGCAGCCCCACTGAGTCTACCTGTGCCGCCAGCTGCCCGTCAGCCTCTACAAGAAGGTGCTGGTGATCATGCACGAGGCCATCCTGCCACACCTGGCCCAGCCCACCCTCCTGATGGACTTCCTCACCAGTGCCTATGACGTTGGTGAGCAGGGTGGAGACCTGCGGGACGGGACAGGGTGGCCCTCGACCTAGGGGGCGGCGGTGGGAGGCTCTGTGTCGGGCCGCAAGACCTTTCTGAGTGGGGCCCTGAATGCCCACAGGTCAAGGTCTCCTTTCTCTGCAGGGGGAGCCATCAGCCTCTTGGCCTTGAATGGACTTTTCATCCTGATTCATAAGCACAACCTGTGAGTGGGGGTGGGGCTCCTGTCCCCCCACTAGGCTGAGTCCTCCCAGGGTAGAGGAGGTGGGACCTGTGCTTAGGAGCCAGGGGTCCCCTAACTCTGATCCATCAACAGGGAGTATCCTGATTTCTACCAGAAGCTCTATAGCCTCCTGGAGCCGTCTGTTTTCCATGTCAAATACCGGGCCCGCTTCTTCCACCTAGCTGACCTGTTCCTGTCCTCCTCGTGAGTGGCGGGTGGGGGGGGCAGTTAAGTGGGGTGCCTATCCTCTTATGGGTCCATCCCCACTGCAGCCCTGGGCTCATAATCTCCTGCCTCCCAGCCACCTCCCTGCCTACCTGGTGGCCGCCTTCGCCAAGCGCCTGTCCCGCCTGGCACTGACCGCACCTCCCGAGGCCCTGCTCATGGTCCTGCCCTTTATCTGCAACCTGCTGCGCCGTCATCCTGCCTGCCGTGTCCTGGTGCACCGGCCCGGGGGCCCAGGTGAGGGGGAGATGTGCTAGGGGAGCAGGGGGACAGCATGCGACAGGAGGATCCTGTGCTCTGCCGTGTCCTGGTGTACCAGCTGGGGGCCTGGTGAGGGAGAAGTGGGGATGAGACCCAGAAGTGGAGCAGCACAGGGGGATGGGGAGGATCCTGGCATGGACTAGCACCCACCAGGTCTGGACCTTGTCCCCAGAGCTAGACACAGATCCCTACGACCCTGGAGAGCAGGACCCTGCTAAGAGCCGAGCCATGGAGAGCTCGCTGTGGGAGCTGCAGGTGAGTCCCCCAACTTCACTCCTGCTCCTTTCCACCCTTTCCCCCACACCAGCTGGCCTTTATCCTACCCGGCTACTCCGATTCCTGGACACTGTCCCCAGACTCCCCACCCTGGCCATGCTGAAGATGACCTGCCTTTCCCTGAGTGCCCACCCCCTTCTCTGGGACAGCACTGACCCTGAGGGGATGGATAGCCTATGTCCTCACTGGCCCCCTACCCACAGGCTCTACAGAAGCATTACCATCCTGAGGTGTCCAAGGCGGCCAGTGTCATCAACCAGGCACTGTGTCCCCCCGAGGTCAGCATCGCACCACTGCTGGAGCTCACTCCATATGAGGTCTGAAGGGGCTGTGGGAAAAAGTGCAGGGAGCTGGGGGACGGGGGCTGTGGGGAGAGGCACAGGGGAGCCCCTCAAGTGTAGGGGGCTATAGGGAGGGGTTCAGTGGGCACACAGGCACTGCAGGGATCCAGGGGGCATGGGGACCCACACCTGAAAGCCCTATACCCGACCCCCAGGTCTTCGAGCGGGACCTGAAGAAAAAAGTTCCGGAGCCGGTGCCCCTTGAGTTTATCCCCCCTGTGGGTCTACTGGGCCGGCGGGAGGACCTCTGCACCCAGTACTTCTCCATCGGCTGACACCCTTAAACCCCCTCCAATAAATGGTTTTCTAGGATATGGTGATGGGGGCAGCCTTTCTTGGAACACAACAAGGCCCGAGTCACACGATGCCATGGTGCCTCTTACTTACAAGAGCTGGGGAAGTGGCAGGAAGAAGGACCCGTCCTGTCTGGGGACAGTTACCTGCAAGGCCACACTTTGGTGTTCAGGGATCCTTGCTGTCCCAGGGGTCCACGGGGCCTCATCTCAGCCCATACACACCCCGTCCTCACCCAACAGCTGAAAGTGGTCATCCCACAAGACAGCCTGTGAGGGTTCCCACCACAGCAGGACCCGAATCTTCTCTTAAAAAATCTTAATGTAAGGGCCAGAGGCAAACAGGCATGACAGTGGAGATACACATCAGGTCTAAGAGTCCTGAGATAGCAGCTTCTACCAGGAGTGTACTCCCTGCATGAGCTCAGCCCCAGAGCTGCCAATTCGGGCCAGCAGGGCATGAGCAAGGAGTCTACAACCAGTGTGGGTGCCTGGCTGCCCTGCACCAGGAGTTAACGCCCAAGCTGGTTTCTGCTCCAGGGTCTTCACACAGCCTGGCTGTGCCAGGGCACCTGTCCCTGTGTGCCTCCTCCCTGACCGTGTCCTGCAGACCCTGAGAGTGCCCCTCTGCTCCAGAGTGTCCCCTCGTCCCTGGCCTGTCTCAGCCCTGTTTGTTGTGTGGCTGCCCTCCCGCTAAGAATACTGGTTGTGGGGCATGTGTGTTGGCTTGGGCTGTGCCCCCAGGACAGGCTGGCACCTATTCCCCGGTCTGGGCTGCACTTAGGGCAGCAAGAGCTGCTCTGCTGGCTGTGTCCTGAGTGCGGCCACCAGGGGCCGCTGCAGCTAAGGCTGCGTGCCCAATATGGGGGGAGGGGGGAGCGCCTAGATAAAACCACATAAGCCTCATGGGGGCTCTGTCCTGCACCTGCTCCTGGGGCTTCCTGGCGGTCTGGGCACTGTCCCTAGCAAGGCTAGACACTGGACACACAGACTGAGTGGATGCCCAAGGCCCTCCCCACCTGTGTGCTGCAGAGAAATCTGGGGTCTGGCCCGTGGCTCAGCTTGGAAGGCAGGGGGCTGGATGCCAGGTGTCTCAAGAGGCATACCTCCAAAACCCTGTCAGGTCCCACGGGATTTTATGGCTCAGGGTGTCTCCCCTAGACTCAAAGCCACAGACTGGAGGACAGAACCCCAGCCGTGCTTGGGACGGAGCGCTTGGGGTTGCTGATGGAGATGTGAAGTTTCTAGTGTGCACAAGGCCACCAACCTTACCCGCTCAGCGTGAGGAAGATAAAGCTCAAAGATGCCAGGCTTAGCTCTCAAGTCAAATTTGTTAAAACCACCATCTGGGCTAACTTGATTTTTGGCTGAAGATGCAATCACTTCTTAAACAGGAAAACACAATTTTGCTTTTGTATGATCAAAATTATACAATTCTGTGTTTAGAAATAGCCCATTGGTGCTGTGTTTTTCTGCTTCCCAGGGACCTGTGGAAGGTGAAAAGGGCCCCAGAGGGTTCGAACCTCTTATCTTCAGACTGCCTCTATGCCTTCTGCAGAGCAACCGGTGGGTTCCACCCACTGACTTTTCTGTTAGCAGAGCAGGTTATCCTTTGGGCCACCTGGCTAGGAACAGTCATGGATAAATGATCATGTCACGTACATGGGGACTTCCCCCCCCCGTTTATTATTTTAACTTTTTAAATTATTATTAAATTTTATTCGTTTTAATGAACATTTTGGGTTCTCATTCATTCATTGTTGCAGTTTTCTCTACCCTCCTCTCCAGTTCGTTCTTCCCCCCACCCCCCCATGTCTGTTTTAATTGTCCAATTGCCACAGAGCTTGTCAAAGCCAGATCTGATTAATCTCCTTTGTCAGTGTGCCCTTTGCCATTCCCTATCACTCCTCCCTGAGAGACTTCACCCTGATTCATAAGGAAAAGGGGATGGC